ATATATATATATATATATATATATATATATATATATATATATATAGTTCATTCTGTCTCCTGCAGTCATTCATCGAGGGAAGTGGAAACCATAGTTTTTTCTTCTTCTCCTCTTATAATATCTTCTGATTTACTTCGTCGCGGGAACCAAGCCAGTTACTCATATCCCTGGGACGCGCCGAACTTCAGTGTTCTGGTGTTTTCATGGTTGTATCTACTGTAGATCCTGGTGCACAGGAGTTGCAGCGGTTTTTGGAGGTTGTGGCTGGTTTGTCAAAGCAGATGCTTTAGGTAGGTACCTACTGTCGAATAAACCAGTACCTTTACCTTTAATCAGCATCATTACCTCTATCTTTGTCTAACCATAAAACGTTGCTATCAACCATGCGTTACTACATGGGTGCCCACTGAAAATCAGTGCTGGGTAACTTGTATGCCTGGCTTACACTGAGTGGGTGACCCTTTTAGCATAGGCATGTTGTCAGCGTCTCTCTTCTAATTCTTCTGATTTAAAAGTCCTAAAAGTTCAATTGCATGAATAACCCTAAAAGTAAATAAATACATATCAATGCTGAGTAAATCTGAGAGGGTCAATTGCTTTACAGCTGATCTTTTCTCTTTCAATACAGGAAGAAAATTAATTTTGTTCATAATTTTGTCTTTTGGAAATAAATGAAAACTTATTCCTGAATCTCCGTAAGTATTACATTGAGGATCGCAATAATATTTTATGTTTCTGCTTTTATTAAAAACAGGTTTCTGTATGTAATCGTGATCCATTTGATTATGTTTAAACTTTCTAACCTCAACTCGAAAGCAAAGTGTCGTTCTTAGACTACTTCTAAATTTCGCCACTAGAGGCGCGCGGGATAATCTTAGCATCGCCAATAAGATAAGATATTATTACTAGAAAATGCAATCTCGATCTCGCGAGATATCGATTTCACGTCATCACGTCAATTTTTAGCGATTTTTGCTTGATATTCAAAATCAACGAAAGTCAAAATCATTTATTTCAATTTTATCACGAAGCTAATTTGAAACGTCACAACAAAATATTGATATGTTAAAAATATCCATTTGTCAGTCAGTCGTCTAGTTTATGAAATCTCGCTTGAGCCCTAATCTAGAGAAAATGGCATTCCTTACCCATTCCATATTTACATTTATTTATTTCGCTTAATGTCGATTTTTCAATCAACAGTTCATTCTGAGCGGAGCGAGGGGGACTGGGATGCCGTCTGCTCCTTTTGCGAAGCAGTCATGCTAGCTAAGGAGGAGGCAGGACGCGTGAGGCAGCGAAGCGCTGCCTCCTCGCAACCCTGCCATCGCGTAGGACACACCGGGCGTCGGGGATCGCGGGACGATCTCCGGCCACCGTAAGCGCGGGACTGTGGACGGCGAGCATGGGTGGCTCCCCGTCCGACCAGAAACAGACCCGAGCGTACGGCGCGTCGCGTTCCACGCGCGCCTCAAAGAGCCATCAGACCACCACAGATGGGGCCCAATAGGGCCGATGCCGATTCGGAGTCGCGGAGAACCTAACGGGTAACCGGGGCTCCGGCTCGACGTGCAGGAGAAGGAACGGGGTGGTTTTTAGTCAGTAAGAGTCTGACACTCCCTTCCGCCAGTTCCGACAGTTTTTAGTACCTATGAAAGAATTGTCAAGTTATTCCTGTCATAAAATTTAACAGGCGTTGGAAATCATCATTAACAGCCGAAAGTCGTCCACTGGTGGACAAAGGCCTCCCCCTTAGTCCTCCACGTCGAACGACAACTCCCCACCTGTACCCACTGGCTCCCCGCATCTCTGGCGATGTCCTCGGTCCACCTAGCGGGAGGCCGAGAGCTATCAGATCACCACAGATGAGCCGATGCCCAATATGGAGTCGCGGAGAACCTAACGGTTTACCGGGGCTCTGGCTCAAAGAGCAGGAGTAGGAACGAAGTGGTTTTTAATCAGTAAGGGTCTGATAAACCCCCTCTCGCCACCCCAAGGCAGTAGAAGTAACTGGATGATTTTCTCCTCTCAATAAAAAAAGCGGAAAGTCTACCCACGCTTCGTCTTCCGGTCCGTGGTCCCCACTCCAGGACTTATCTGGCTCATATGCCGTCAGTTCGTCGAGCGACGTGACCTGGCCATTGCCACTTCAGTCTGCAGATTTTGCGAGCTATGTCGGCCCTAAATATGAAGTGCTCTGTTTTCCACTTCAAAAAATAAAAAACGTAATACTATGTACATATTTTATACCGTATTCATTCAAATTATCGACACCTGTATCTAGATCCGAAATGAAATACTTTTGGTACCTAATCACTAGGGCACACCTCAATGCCTATTTTTAGCCAACAGCGGGGTCCTAACAGAGGTTTGTTATTCTAGGGTTCAATCATAAGAAAGGGTAAAACAGAACCCTATTACTAAGTAACGCTTAGGCTTAGATAAGTGACGCTTAACGACATTTTAGTATAAGTGTCAGTGACACCTACTAGTACAGGTAAAGGGTTAGTTAGGTACGGATCATGCTAAGTAACTCTTAGTTAAGGAATGGTATTGTAGGCGTTGTGTACCTCTAACAACAACCATATTTTTTATTTTTTTTAAGGAGGTCTTGTTCTTGTTCGCTCTTCTGTATACGAATTTATATTTTGAAATGACCATCGTTTTTTTTATGACGTGGGGAAACCTTCAAAATACGCCTAGGTGTTTAGGAAGAAACACTGAAGAGTGTGGGATTCGTACCACAATAAACCCACTTCTTGTGGCCACCCTCAGCATCTGTAAGGAGCACCGGGTCCTCTAGAAGAGACCTACTCCGGAGTTGGAACGAGCACCTAGCTTCACTGACTGACAGACTTTATTTGTTGACGATTCAAAAGTACCTGTCTATGGTTTCATTGAGACAAATGCTTTAATTTTGACTTTGAGACCTGAAGGCTTACACGATTCCATGGGGGACTTACTCTCGACTCCAATTGATAGGAATGCTAATCATTTGTGGACTGCCTCGTTGGCCGAGTGGTCGCAAGTGCGACTGCCGCCCAAAGG